CCAGGGTGGGCTGAAGTAGTCATAGGTGAGTGATGAAGGGGCTGTAGAGAGCTTCTGATCTGGCGTTTCTCCATGTAGGCAGGGGACCTGAGATTTGTTTCTTTTATCAAAAGAGGATTAAGTTAATGCAACACGCTCAAGTGTTTTTAAGGATGAGGAAACTGAGCTCCTGAAAGAGGTGGTAATCTGCCCGTGGGCACATGGCTGCCAAGTTCATATGCTGTTCCCCCTTCTCGCCCAATGTCCTTCTACCCTAGACCTTGACCTGCAAACCCCATTTGCCCTTCAAGACTCAGCTTAACATCTGCCTCCTTGGTAAGGCTTCTCGGACTTTCCTGGGAGAATATGTTGCTCCCTCCTCTGTGCCTTTGTGTAGTTTATACTTGCACAATAGCTAGAGCAATTGATAATGTTTATTGAGCGCTTACTAAGTGCTTAATGTACATTTCATCCACACAATAAAGTTATAAGGCAGGTGCAGTTCTCATCTCCATTTTTCAGATAAATTAACAGGCCCAGAGAGGTTCAGTGACTCTCCCAAGATGGCACAGCTAATAAGTGTGAGACAGCCTGGCTGCAGAGCTCATATTTCAAAAAGACTTCACCACACTGCCCCCTCCCTAGCAGCACAGCTGTTATGGAAGAGGTCTGTTTACATATTTGCTCCCTTCTCTGGTTTGTAAGCTTCTATGGGAGAGGTATATCATTTAGAATCTGATGGCTGCAAACAACAGATACCCACCTCAAAGTGGGTTAAAGCACAAGGGACATCCAGAGGAAAGGTGGCCAGAATTCATTGATTTGGGGGCTTAGTGACATCACCAAGGACTCGGGTTCCTTTCATCTTTCTGCTCTGTCACCCCTGATGTGTGCACTTAGTTCCCCTTGCAGTTACAAAATAACTGCCCCAAGTCCAGGCCTCAAATCTGGACCTGAACCATGCAGAAAAGATGCTGTATTTTCTTCCGTGTCTTTTTCTCATAGCACAGATATCATTTCCAGAAACCTCCCTGTGGACTTCCCTTTGAGTCTCACTGGTCAGAATGCCTATGCCTAAACCAAACACTGGCAAGGACACTGAAAGCACCATGACCGGTTTAGACCAATTCAGCCTCCCCTCCAGCACCAGACACAGGATGGGACAGAGACCTGTCAAGAAGTAAGGTAAGGTAAAAGGTGAAGATGAGACAGCCAACACTCCCTGATGCAGTCGTGAGGACAAGAGAAAATCTGATGTCCCATTACTTATTGTCCAGTTCTTTGGACTTTAGCATGTGAATAAAACTCGGTTGAACCAAACTATAACTGAGAGAGAAACTCATTTCCCCAAATGCCCAGTACAGAATTTTTACCATCATTCCCTGGAACTAGGGTGTGATGACATGTGACTAAGATACATGTCCGAGACAGCTCTCAATTTACAAAATTAATTCACCAATGCTTCCATCTTTAGATTCTAATCTCTCACACAGTCTAGTCTCTAGGCAATGGGATCCTTTTTCAAAAGCAGGTCAAAAAGAGAGCAACATGAAATAGAATCATAAAAATGTTAGTCTTACCATAAATTCAAGGTTCATGTCAACCTTGACATTCTTCTCAGAAACACAGTGTGTTCTTAAAAATGAGACTCATTCAGGCAGAGAGGTTAATTGTAAAAACCATTACATTTCCGGACCTTCTTGTAGCTATCCAGTAAGATTTCCTGCAACCGGGTTTGTCTACATCTGCCCCTGACAGCCAGGTACATGAAGATGAGATCGTTTAAGCAATTCTTGGGGGACCCAGATCATGGTCAGAGAGGGAAATACCAAGAAAAGGAAAATGATCTCCAAGCACAAAAATAATGTACCTTAGCAAGGAATAAGACTGGAGAAGAGGGAGACACAAATAATGAACATGTGGCCCAGAGAAGTTGGAAAGCTGCCCAAGGTCACACAGCTAGTAACGGCTAATGCAAGAGTCATACCCAGTTTCAAGGAATATTGTAGTTCTGTCACCGACATGGTCTTTCTCTTCCTTTTTTTAGAAGCATCCATAAGGGCGCATTTGGAGGCCTTTATCTTTGGGAGAGGCTTGTAACTCAGGAGACCCAGGAAAGGTAGAGATTGAAGGAGGCAGAGTAGGGAGAGGAAGCCAGACGCCCAAGATTGGCTGGAGGATCTGGGCTTTCAACAAGAGCTGCACTGGGAAGCCTGGTAGGGTCCAGTTGGTCCAGCTTTGTGGGGAAGGAAAAGAGCAAAGTTTTCAATGAAGATGCCCATCTGGGGCACAAAGAGGTACATGGGCAGGAACACCACTGTATGAGGTGTCTCAGGACCCAAACAAGGCTTAGCGGAGGACAGAGACAAGAAAAGGAGGAGACCTCGCCCCCCTACAATCTGGACAATTAAACAGAAACAGGAAGGAAAGGGAATAACAAAATGATAATAGTGAGCTCTTAGACAGACTTTTAAGTACAGGATAGGGACTAATTTAAGCATCACAATAAGGTACTAATTAATTACGATTAATCATCGGATATTATACAATTGTTATAATTAGTATTAGTACTAATTATATACTAATATACTAATAATATTATTGTTACTGCATTTTACAGATGAGTACATTGAAGCTCAGAGAGATCAAGTAATTTACTCAAAGTCACACACCTGGTAAATTTTAAATCCAGACAATCTGGCTTGCGGGTTTATGTTCTTAACCATTTCACTTAATAGCAACCTCCGAGAACATTTCGAAGCAAAATTTAAGCTGAGTTGAGTCTACTTTGATTTAATGCAATAATTTTTATATCTGACATTTCCCCAGCAGTGTACTATTTGCAAAGTGTTTTGCTTCCATAGTTCTGGAATCTCAGCCCTACTACTTACTTACTGTATGACTTCAGGTCATTTACTGACTAAGCTTCAGTTTTCCCATCTGTACAGTGGGGACAATCATGCCTGTTGGAAGGGTTAAAAGAATAATAGCCCTGGTCCAAGCCCATAACAAGCACTCAATAAGTGTTTGCTGCTCATGTTGTTGTGATTATTAATATCACACTAGAACTTCGCAACAGCAGTGTGGGGTAGATAAGATTTACTATCCTCATCTCTCAGATGCGGAAACCAACAGTCATAGAAGGGAAATAATTAGCCAGAAAGGGAACAGCCAGAAAGCAGAAATGCCAGACTTGGAAAATGTTCCAACTCCAAGACTGTCGCACTGCTGCCAACCCTCAACTTCTATCTCCTCTTTCTTCCCCAGGAGGCACTGTTATATGAACCAGATCATTCCACGGGACTGTGGAAAAGTTTGAAGCAATTGGAGATCAAGGCTCAGGAAGAAGCTCTGAGGAATTAAGAACGTTTTCAAGGTGAAAATAGGTGCCGATGTAGTGACAGACGAGCAGCACTTTCTCTCATCCCCAAGCAACTGCCAGAGGGGCAGGTGGAACCAAGGCCGGGGTTACATACTGTGATGAGCTGCGCCAACCCCACGAGCCACAGCGGCTTGGCCATGGGTGTGTGGTGGTGTGTCCTCAGTCCAGGAAGTAAAAGTAAACAGAGCAATATTTTTTAAAAACTGTCTAAAATAATCCAGTACCACCTGAAACTGTACTCAACTTTAGGTTTGTTTTTTGGTTTGGGTTTGGTTTTCTGTGATTCTGCATTTCAATGAACTTGAACAAGTTTCTATTAGTACATCCTGTTCTGATACATGGTACATTCAGTTCTATGGCTACAGGCAAAGAGCTGTGAAAAAGTCAGTTTGTCTTGAGGTGTAAAATTTTAGCTGACTCCTTAAGACTCGATTTCTATGTCAATACAGTAACATGATTGTAAGAGTCTGAGAGTTGGGGTATCTGGGTTTGAGGCCAGCCCTCCCAGACTGAAAATTGTATGCTTCCTTCTACATTATTCTGAGGCTTCAGCAATATTTTTTCCCTTTTAGAATGAATGAAAGTTCTTATTTTGTATCCTTTTGTAGTAAGGTGTTTTTTAAAAAGCGACTTGAATATATGCTACCTGCAGAGCTTCGTCTCATTAACATCCAATGATTTATTCAGCAAATTGTTAATGAACATCCACTAAGTGCCAGGCAGTGTGCCAGGCAGCCAGAAAACAATAAACAAGACAGACTCCTCATGGAGTTCACAGTGAAGTATCCTTTATGCTTATGTATAGCTTTTGTTAACAGCTAAAAAGACAGAGACTGCAAATACTTTGGATTTCCCCCATAGCACCTAGGACATGGTGTGGGTCATGGAAGCCACATAATATGCTCAGAATTTAACTTAAACAACGAATTCTCCAGTTAAGATGTATACTTCTCTCTAATTAGATGATATTCTACGTATGCCCACAAGGTGGAGATCTTGCTTACAGTTTACCCAAGCTGAAAGCAACACGTAAAAAAAAATTTTTCTTGGCAGAAGTTAAACCAAAAGAGAAAAAGAAATAAATTCAACTTATTGAGTACCTTTTTAGTGTAATATACCTGTTAAGTGTCAGGAGAAATAGAAAGTTGATAAGACATAACCCCTGCCTTCTAGGGAACGTTGGGGATCAGGAGCTTGCACACAGCAGGAAGACAGTAACTTTCAATGACTTGAATATGTTTTGATGTGTCCTTATGTCCATAGTAATCTCATCATCAGATAAGATCCATAAAAAGGCATGATATAGCCACTGCATGGTGCAGAACAGATTCAACAAAGATCCTATACTTCGACCAATATAGAAACACTTGAGGGTATATTGGTTTGGTGCTGAAAGGCCCTCCTGTGTTCTGATGCTTCTGCCTAACCACAAACCTTACAGTGTCTGCCCTTTAACTCTAGAACATTCATTCTTTCATGAACAAAATATTCTCAGTGCCAGCTGATAATATCAGCTACACAAACTCCCATGTGTAGCTGATAAGGGGATAAGAGAGAAAAGAAACACATGTAAGAAAACATTTTAAACTCCTGCTTTCAGGAAGTGGAGTCCACCCCCACCCACAATCATGTGTCTTACCTGGGAATTTTGGGTTGGATCTAGGACACACTCTGGTACAGAGAGAGAAGAGGAAGGAATGATTCTTATCCAAGAGCTTTTCTGATGGACTGAACCGGAAGGTGGCTGGAAGGCAACAGTGGTTTGTCGTTTTGTTATTTGTTTGTTTGGTTGGTTTGTTGGTTTTGCTCCTCCACCCCCTTCCCCAACCATTTCTTTTCCCCTTAAACCATTACACCAGTACGTCAAATGAAGTATGGGGATTTTTCTTCATTTGTTGAACTGAAAAATCACATTTGGCAAATAAAGTGACTGGCTAAATGACAGTAAATTAAAAAAAAAAGAATGCTAGCAACTTAATTAAAATATTGAACTTTCTTAATGGAGGAAAAATCAAGGGGCATGCCTCCAGGAGACCAGAGTATGAATTTTAGTTTTCTCCACTTGCTAACTGTGGGATCTTGAGCAAACGCCATCCATTCTCCGTGTCTCTGGTTCCGCGTGAGCTAAACAGTATCCCTGACATGCGTCTCCCCCCGCACTAGGTAGGATCCTGGGTTATAATGCTCTCATAACAACCTGAACGTCCCCCTAGAATATAAGTTACATGAGCACAGGGACCTGGATCTGTGGATTTTACTGCTCTGAGACCAGAACGGAGGACAGACGCTTTTTCGAATGGATGAACGAATGGATGGGGGCTGGGGGCTAACCTAGGTGTTCCACTTGCACAGCGAGGTTTAATTCCCGGTGAGTCCCTTGGGAAAGGTGCTGTGACCAACCTCAAAGCGCACAAGCCCGCAGCGACCAGTGGTGGTGAGCGCGCTCGGGAAAGGGGGTGTTGGTTCAAAGTTGTTTGCTACAGATGGTTCCTCTACCGGGTTGGAGTCACATCCTCTGTGGCTCAGAGTCCCAGGGATTTACATAAGGCTGGGTGAATCACGCCGTCGGCAACGGAGAAGGCGAAGGGACCCGCCCTAATCCTCGCCAGGCGGCGCCCGGAGCGCGGGGGTTCAGTCTGAAGTTTGCAGAAGGCCAGACGCTGCCCTGGCCCAGGAACACCGCGACCACTCCAAACTCCGCGAGGGCCAAGGTCGCGTTCCTCCCACCCGGCGGGACTCCATCCAGCTCAGTACCGCCCCCTCCGACGCCCCCGCGCGGGAGCCACCAGCCCGGCTTCTTCCTGGCCCCTAAGTCCGGGACTGAGTGTGGGGCCGCCTCTCTCGCTTGGAAGGAGACATCGCCGCTTTAAGAAGAAGAGGAGGAGAAGGGGGCGGAGGAGTGGGGGGCGGGGAGCGGCGGCAGAGGAGGGGGAGGGGGATCCCCCTCGCTCCCACGTGGTCCGGACGCCTGTGAATCGCGCCCGCCGGAGGGTCTCACAGCGAAATACAAAAGCAGCTGGGAAGCGGCAGCGAAGCGAGTTCCCAGCGCCGGGCAGAGCCCCGCAGCGCCCCGCGGCCGCGATAAAGACCGAATCCCGCGGCGCCCGGCCCGGAGCGGCAGCCCGGAGCCCGCGCCTCGCTTCTTTCAGACCCCGCTCCTGGCACGGGACGCCCGCAGCGGCTCCCTGAAAACTTTCCGGGCGCTGCTCACCTTGGCGGCCGGTGCAGACAGCCCTCCCCGGCAGCCCCCTGGCGAGCACAGGCGGCACGTGCCAGCCCGGCGGCCCCGGCCCGAGGAGCGCGACGCGGTGCATGGGGGTGTCTTCTGGAGCCGCAGCCTGGAAGAGCAGGTGCCCCGGGGCTTCTCGGAGGCCCAGGCGGCGGCGTGGCTGGAGGCGGCGCGCGGCGCCCGAGTGGTGGCCCTGGAGCGCGGGGGCTGCGGACGTAGCTCCAACCGGCTGGCGCGCTTCGCCGACGGCACCCGAGCCTGCGTGCGCTACGGCATCAACCCGGAGCAGATACAGGGCGAGGTCCTGTCCTACTACCTGGCGCGACTGCTGGGCCTTCAGCGCCACGTGCCGCCGCTGGCACTGGCCCGGGTAGAGGGTCGGGGCGCGCAGTGGGCGCAGGTGCAGGAGGAGCTTCGTGCGGCGCACTGGACGGAGGGCAGCGTGGTAAGCCTGACGCGCTGGCTCCCCAACCTCACGGATGTAATGGTGCCCGCGCCCTGGCGCTCGGAAGACGGCCATCTGCGGCCCCTACGCGCCGTGGAGGGCGAGCTGGCCAACCGCAGCCAGGCGGAGCTGGTGGACTTGGTGCAATGGACAGACTTGATCCTCTTCGACTACCTGACGGCCAACTTCGATCGGCTGGTCAGCAACCTCTTCAGCCTGCAGTGGGACCCGCGCGTCATGCATCGCGCCACAAGCAACCTGCACCGCGGCCCCGGCGGGGCACTGGTCTTTCTGGACAACGAGGCGGGCTTGGTGCACGGCTACCGGGTGGCAGGCATGTGGGACAAGTATAACGAGCCATTGCTGCAGTCAGTGTGCGTGTTTCGAGAGCGGACAGCGCGGCGCGTCCTGGAGCTGCACCGCGGGCAGGACGCGGCCGCCCGGCTGCTGCGTCTCTACCAGCACCATGAGCCTCGCTTTCCGGAGCTGGCTGAGCTTGCCGACCCCCACGCTCAGCTACTGCAGCGCCGCCTCGACTTCCTCGCCAAGCACATTTTGCACTGTAAGGCCAAGTACGGCCGCCGACCGGGGACTTAGCATCACCCGGAAGAGAGAGAGAGCTTTGGGGCATGTAGAATGGGAGAAGGACCGTCGCCTCTGCCACCGCCTGGGACCAGCCGGCCAACGCCCCGCCAGGGTCCTGAGCGCGAAGGCGGCTAAAAACTTAAGCTTCAGCCACTTGCCCCTTTCTCTCAGTCCTAGGTTGTTTCAAAGTTCTGGGAGGAGAGCTCATCGAGGCCAGAGTGTAACATCCCCTCCACCCAGCTTATAAAAGGATTCTTCCCTGTGCCAGCCAGGGAGTTTGGATCCGAGGAAACTGCCTGCCAGAGTTTGGCCCCGCGGTGGCCGTCTCTGTGGGAGATGCATCCCATTCCTTGCCCTCCCCCCATTTCCTTTCCCCAAAAGGAAAACTTCTATTTGAGCCGTTGAGCTTAATTCTGCAGTTTCCTACCAAACGCAGCGCTGGCGGCCCAGAGCAGGGCTATGACATTGCCTGGTGGAGCCCCCTTCCTGTGTTCTCCCTTTGTTCCGGCTGGTGATGGTGAGATCACTGTTAAGAGCTGGGGAACGGATTCGGATAGGACAAAGAGCAAGACCTCCAGAACCTGGGGAGTCCTGCAGACGCTGACTGTGTGTCTGACTTGTTCTGTACCGCTTGTCATTTGGGCCCGAAGGCTACACATGCGGGACTGGCTGTATGCACTGAGTCAAATAATTTCTCCCTCCCCCTCCCAACCGACCAAAATTTTGACGATGACGACGTCCACCAGAAAAAAAAAAAAAAAATCAGTTTCATGCACTTTACTTTGTTTTTATTTTGATTTTTTATTCAGAAAAACTTTTTTATTTGACAAGATTTGCATACTATGTATATATGTGCATAAAATGTGGTGTAAATATACTAAACAAACTTATATTTCAATAAAAGGGAGTTTAAAATTTAGAATTTAATTCCTTTGGTTTTAACTGTTTGAGGTATCTAATGCCTTACCTGGTTTTAGAATGCGCTTTACAGTTTCTCCCTTGCAGATGTGCTTTTAAAACAAAGGATGCATATACATCCCAGTTGTGACTACAGAACTTATAGAATTGAACAAAGACAATAACAGATTCCCCTGTTCTGCTCACTCAAATGAACCCCAATGCTGGGAATTACAGAGTTTAGCATAGAATGTGGGGGAAGGTGGAAAGAGGGAAGGAAAGTATTCTATCTCCTGGCAAATAAAACTTTGATATAAAGAGATTTCACTGTAATATAATCCTGTATTAATCATGTGACAACTATGACAGAACAAGATGTACAGACTAAAATATGACAAATGTCCTTTTAAACTTAACTATAGTGGTCACATACTGCACATTATTCTCAGCATTGTAATTACCATGCATCACAATGTGTACGGATAATAAGCTGAACACATTTCAAGCAGGTAGAGAAAGTCATAAATTAATTCTTTTTAATCTGGCATAAATTCCATTGCGTCCAGATCATAATCAACATCTGGACTCATCCAGCTCTCTTAAGAGATTGTACTTTTCTTTTTCCAGGTACTAATTACATGGTCCTCTCAGAGCTGCCATTGTGAGACCATGAAAGCGTATAATAATTTGTATATCGCATTTGGACCCTTACTTCTTGGGGACTTCAAATTTAGAAAATATTTTTGGATTGTCTTAAACTCCTTTTTGATCCATGGGGGAAGGAAGAGGGGTTTGATTTTTGTTTTTTTTTAAAAAAGCCATTGGTGTTTTATCTCGGCATTTTATTTGCTATCTGGGTCCAAATAATCTTGCCTATTATTTTCCCTTTACTTAATAACCTTTTTAACTCAAAACAACTTTTGTTTAAGTTTTTTTATTTGACTTACATTTGTAAACCTAGAGTTTTATAAACTCATGAAGATATTAAATCTCGGTGGGTTCCCCTTCTCGCTCTGCATTATAACATGGCGTTTTATTTAACTACTATTTAACACCATCCTTATGTTTTCAGAGCCTTATGCTAAGCTAAGTCTTATCTCAACTGAAAAAATAGAGTCCATAAACTTTGTGGTATCAGCCAAATTTCTCACAATACAGTTATAATGTACTGATAATGACAAATATATATTCAAGACATTGTTAGCCTGAGACCTCTGATAATTACCTTTCAAAAAGAAACATGTCCATTGCTGATAATCAATTCATAAAAATATGAGATATGCTGCCTAAGTCAACAGAGGCTGCGCCAAGGAAAGGATAACTGTTAAGCATTCTACATTCTTACCCAACATGTTCATCAAGGAAAACGATGAGCAGCGATAAGTCAGAAGTTTCCCAGATTGTACAGGAAATACACCTTGACTCCCATATAATTCCAGCACTGTTCAGTTCTGGGCCAGCAGCATTCTCTACATTCCTCCTAAGACAGTTTCAAGCCCAGACTTGACCATGGTTAACCCAGAGGAAGAAACTAAGCATAATTTAAGTGGCTCTTCTCAGATTCTTTAGTGAATGAACCATATCTGCCTGTTCAAGAAATAAGTTTAATTACATGGTGGAGTTGTTAAGGGAACCAACTTAATTACAGACAGCAGGCTTTAGCTGTTGCTTATTCTTTGTGGGTAACTGGTAGGCTGCAGCATGGAAAGATCAATTAAAGTTTTGCCATGGTCAGTGAATGCCGCCAGGGCCAAATCATTTTTCCGATGAAGGAAAAAAACTTTCAGGCTGTAGCGTGATGTGGAAAGAGTAATGGGTTCTGCAGATAGACTATATTCTGAATTCTGTCCCTCACCTATTTACTTTCAGCAAGCCATTTAATTTAGTTCCCTCATCTATGAAATGGAGATTCGATCAGAGTACTGTAGGATTTAAAAGTTAACATATAAAACATAAGGACACATCATAAGTACTTTTTAAAAAACTCACTTCCTATTCATCTTTAAAGAAATTCTTGCCCTTCTTAACATTTCAGTAAACTTCTAATTTTCATCATCAAAACCAAATCTAGCAGTTTCCAAAGTCAGGTTCAGTTTTTGAAGTGTGGTAATAAACTAATTCAACAAATTATTAAGGACTTTCTTCAAGCACTATGAAAAGCACTAGATCATAAGGCCGAGGGCATAGGTTTGATCTCTACATGGGCTTGAGTGGCTGATTTCAGGATCCAAGCAGACCCTCTGCACCAAGGAAGCTGTAGTACAAATATATGAGGACGATTAAAAAAAATAGATGGCTTGTTGCAAATTCATCGCCACTTCTGGAAAGCATCAAAAAGTGATGAATCTTTGCAAGAACAATCCTCCCAATTCCTTCTGCCAAGAAAAAGTAGGCAGTTGACCTTTTCTCCCTGGATTTGACTGTTGATTAATTCACATTGTCAATGACAGTTCTAAACTCTATTAAGAGTACTCACCCTCCTGAATCAGGAAGAAAAACAAATTATTCTAACACATTTCAACACTTCTCAACCTTCTGCCTACGACTGCAGCTAGCAGAGTCCTCCAAGGCCTAGAGGTTGATTACGTGGATTAAATGAGTAAATATTTGTGATATTCTCAGAACAGTGCCTGGCACACAGTAAATGCAATATGTGTTTGTTTATTGGTGGAGTAGATAATTTTCTCTGCTACATCAAAACCGGAGACACTTTGAGCCCCAGGCAGAA